CTGTTTCATATTACCACAGTACATCAGCCCGGGACTTTTCTTAGTGCTGTGTTTTGCAAAAATGCACAAAGCAGTTTATAGACCCTTTTATAAACAACTTTCTATAAAACATTTTATTTGAACAGATATATAATGTTATAATTAGTGTCATTCCACAACTAGGCCCTAAAAGTAATTCAGCACTGAACACAAATTCTATGTAACCTTATTTTACAAGATCAGAAACGTACAGCAAACAAGCAATAATGCTACTGAACATATCATTATTTACAGCATCAGAGATTTACAGTACAATAATAGCAGGTGCATAGCAGAAGAGGATCTCTGTCCAGAAATGGATTATATAAACCAGCATTTATAAGGTGATGAATAATCACAGAAGTGGATTTTGAGTGTCAAATGGATTTTGCATAGATAATCAATCACTGCCAGACATTATTATTTTTTGCCGACAATAAGACAATCATTACAATCCATTTGACTTCATACAGTAGCACTGCTCAATGTCTAAACACTGACCACCTCAATATGCAAATATACGTACCATATTTTTGGCCATAGTACCTTTTCATCTATTATTTTTGGCCAAATGTTTTATTATTAATGCATTCATTTGATGATTCTCAGACGGAACAGAGTAAAGCAAAGCTAAAGAAAAAAACTGAAATGCTCCAATCCCCAAACCTCAAAACCCATTTCAACTCAAAATTAAGAGAACCGAACTGCATATGCACAAAATTAAAAGACACACATATTTGATATGTAATTTGAATCAAATGCTATATCCATAACACTTGGTACAATGGTATAAGAATTCAACCCACGACATTCACAAATAGGTTTAAGGCAAAAAATGAATACAGCAGACTTTGCCCTGAGCAGGACACTGTAAAAAAGCAGGTCATATCAGTGTGGTTTAGTTTGGCTCAAATAAGCACAGCTGGCGTCGATAAAGGAGCATTTGTGATGAGTATTAATTCAGCTAGCTAATCTCATTGAGACCTACACTTTCATATCCTCAAAGGAAGTTATTACAACCGGTGCCATGATTGTTCAAAATCAAATTAGACAGTTTTTATGGAAAAATCAAAAAACAAAACAAAACATAAAACATACTCTACAGCTGTCTATATACTGGAAATTACACTAATATACATTTGACAGACACTGAGGTGTACATTTAGATAGACATACAGTAAACACAATGCTAAAATGTTAAAGAACATCCCTAAACAGACTCAAAGCTCGAGAACAATCAAGTATTTAAAGACCTCGTGAAATGACAGTTTCTTTTCTATGTCGACGTCCAAGTCATGTTGGAATGATTGTATTTACACCACATGAAGTCGTAATTACCAGTAGGAAGTAAGTGGATTCCCTTAAGCTCCAACTTTCAGAGTTGGTAACGTGTTTATCAAAGAATAATGGCAGATGTTTTTTTTATTATTATAATAAGAATATTGACAGTTCAGTTAAACGTGACTCTGCTTACATTTCCGCAAAACCGCAAAAAGGTACCTATACATACGTTTCACTGCAGTTTCCAGATGAAATGAACACTAGAGGCAGTAAACGCCAACAACTTTTGTTCCTTTTCACACAAATTATGATTACGCAGCAGATTATCGATGAATAAATGCTTATCTTTGCATGTTTTCTTGCACAGTACTCTGTTATGAATACAGAATACTTTTAACATTTGTAAACTAATACATTTTGACATTTGCATCACATAATCAGCTCCATATGTGTGGCGTTTCTGACGCAGTAAACTTGCGCCTGCAAGCAATTAGGCAAGCTAAAATGGCATGCTTGCGTCAGCAAATGTGTTTTTATCTCACATTTGCTTTTGTAAACAATATAGGTTAGATTTCATTGACGAAATGCCATGATATTTACAACAACCAATGTAATAAAACATTGCCACTGTCACAATTAACTTTTTCAGAGACATCTGAACACGCTATTTAGCATCGGACTCTAGACCGTTCTGTTTGAAAAGAAAAATTATACAGCGCCTCTTGTAGACATGTCATGTGAAAAATGCATTAAAACATATCTGGAACAATGTATTTCTGGTTTTGCTATTTGCACATTTCAGGAAATTTGGGCATAATCATATATTTCGTGGGCTTATTCACCAGCGTGAACCATTTTTTACTATCTGCTATCGCTAATGGTGGCAAATAGTATATTTCATGTGGTCTTTAAATTCATATTCTAGACCAGGGGTGGCGAACGTCGGTCCTGGCGAGCCGCAGCCCTGCAGAGTTTTGCTTCAACCCTAATCAAACACACCTGAACAAGCTAATCAAGGTCTGAAGGGTTACTAGAAAGCTACAGGCAGGTGAGTTTTAATTAGGGTTGGAGCTGTACTCTGCAGGGCTGCGGCTCTCCGGGACCGGAGTTCGCCACCACTCTTCTAGACCCTGAAATATTCTAACTCTTCAAACCTGAGGATAAAATAGCCACACTTACACAAAACAATCAAATAGACCCCAAAAGCTCAGCTTATCATAAAGCCTAAACCATAAGACAGCAGTATTTTGGTGTGTATTTTGCATCACTAACTGTGGGGTGAAACTGATACAAAGGCAGTGGCTTTATTCTTGAGGATGCAGGGTCAGACTGAACATTTGTCCCTACATCAGGCAACTATAGAAAATAAAGACATCTGTGCATATATGCTGTGTAAAGCACTACATAAGCTATTGCTCTTTAATACTACAGGCGTCGTGCTGCTCGAACCCATGCGAACCATTCCAGCGGTCTCTTGTTACACACAAAGCAGGGAGTCTGTGACGGTAACAAAACAATGCTATGCAATGAAACGGATGGCGTAACACACCTCAGAGCACTAGTGACCAGCCATGAGAGGCTGTGTCTGAATGTGGCCACTGATCTGAGGCCTGCTGGGGTGGTTTTTCGGTCCATCCTGTGGATTGAGCTCATGGTACGGGACAAGATGTAGTCATGTTGGTGGTCTTTCTGCCTCTTCTAAAGAAATGACAAAATGACAAAATCACTCAATGTACTGATAACCTATTTGGAGTCGGCTAACAAAAAGAAGACAAAAACAAATCGCAAGGTCCCAAAAGTTTAAAAAGTCACAAAATGTGAATTAAAAATCATATTTAGACCGTGAAAATAGAATTCACACTGGGGGAAAAAAACAAAACGGTAATAATATCCTTGAGATATTAAAGCTTTTTAGAGAATGTACACTAATGTTCAGACGTTTAGGATTAGAACGAGTTTGTTGTTGTTGTTTTTTTATTAATACTTTTGTTCACTAAGGTCGCATTAAATGATCAAAAGTGCCAGTAAAGACATTTATAATGTTACAAAAGTTTTCTATTTCAAATAAATGCTGTTCTTTTGAACTTTCTATTCATCTGTGAATCCTGAAAAATAAAATGCATCACGGTTTCCACAAAAATATTGTGCAGCACGACTGTTTTCAACATTGATAATAATCAGAAATGTTTCTTGAGCAACAAATCAGCATATGTGACCCTGGAGCACAAAAGCAGTCTTAAAGGGGTGGTTGATTGCGATTTCACTTTTTTAACGTTAGTTAGTGTGTAATGTTGCTGTTTGAACATAAACAATATCTGCAAAGTTATGAAGCTGAAAGTTCAGTGCAAACGGAGATATCGTCTTTTAAAATCCTGGCAGTTTAAAGCCTACAAAAACGGCTGGTAGGGACTACAACGAGTTACTTCCCGGGTTCATGACATCACAAACCCAGATAAACCCCGCCCCCGGGAAAAGGCAGCAAAGGGGGCGGGGCCATGCTGCGCTGCTTTAGAGAAGAGGAAGAGAAAACTAGCGGTGCGCGTAAAAATCTATTCGTATATGAATCACGATTCTGTCTTCTAACGATTCTAATGGATTCACAAGTTTCAAAATCAGTGTTCTAAAGCAGCGGTTCTTAATACTGTTCCTCGCGTCGCCTGCTCTGCACACGCTCTGCATCTCTCTCTCTCTCTCTCTCTCTCTCTCATTCAGCTCATCAGCTCAGTGAATACTTATTTTCACATACTATAGCTATGAGAAGCGTTAAACATGGACGCACGGGCAGTTGCCGTACTGTATTAAAGCTTTAATCAAAATAAAACCGTATATTAAAAGCTAACAGAAGCAGTAGCATTTACAAATAACAGCGTATCTAAAAGTATGAGACAACAACAAACAAAAAACATAGGCCTACCATTAAAAGCCGTGCTTGCACAGGTTCTGCTTCTCAATCGGGCTCAAACTGAGAAGCACATTAGACGACGCCATTGTTTACAATACAACCGGAGCACATGCTGCTGAGCTGAGGGGCGGGACGATTAGACCCGCACTAGAGGCGGTTTAGCCAATCACAACACACCGGGCCAGCTAACCAATCAGAGCCCATCGTGTATTTCTGAGGGAGGGGCTTCATAAAAGCAGGTAATGATCAGTGCGTTCAGAGGAGAAGGGACAGAGCGGTGTGGAATAACAAACAAAGCATTAACACATGTTAGACTGCACCCCATAAACACAATCAAGCCTAGAGAAAAAACAGTCAACCACCCCTTTAAGTCGCTGGGGGATATTTGTAGTAATAGCCAAAAAAACATTGTTTGGGTCAAAATGATACATTTTTCTTTTATGCCAAAAATCATTAGGATATTAAGTAAAGATCATGTTCCATGATGATATTTTGTAAATGTAATACCGTGAATATATCAAAAATGAATTATCATTAGTGATGTGCATTGCTAAGAACTTCATTTGAACAACTTTAAAGGCGATTTTCTCAAAATTTTGATTTTTTTTTGCACCCTCAGATTCCAGATTTTCAAATAGTTGTATCTCGGCCAAATATTGTCCGATCCTAACAAACCATACATCAATGGAAAGCTTATTTATTTCAGCTTTCAGCTGATGCATACATCCTAATTAAAAAAATTTACCCTTAATGACTGGTTTTGTGGTCCAGGGTCACATATTATACTGATTTCTGAAGATCATGTGACACTAGCCGAAGCGCTGCTGTATAAACTCAGGCTGGAGTTAGATCTGCTCACGGTCAGGCCTTTAGCGCTGCCTCTGCGGCCCGACGCCTCGAACGCATCCGGAGAGAGATACTTCTCCTTTATCTTCAGGTTTGTGCGTCCCTTTACTGTGTGTGCAGAAGGAATGATGCATAAAAGTCTTTACTGACACTACAAATAAAATAAATGCATCCTTGCTAAATAAGTATTATTAATAAGCAGGAAATAGGAGTTTACTGAGGCAAAAATCGTAGTTAATAGTTAGTTAACAGTGAGAATTGGTCTGAAGTGTGACCTATTAGATAATATTACAAGCTGTCAGTATATTGTTTGTCCTCTGATTTAATCTACAATAAGCTGATTTTGAATTATTGTGAGATATTCACCTCTACAGGGGTCATTCTTCACTAGAAACTCATCTAATGCTGTCCATCCACCACCAACTCGAACCATCAGAGAGCTTCTGAGAATACGAACCATCCGCAACTGCTGAGAGTCTCCAAACTGGTGAAAATCGCAGATATTAATGAAAAACATCATATGATATCATCAGGCATGCAGTCATGAATATATAGCTGTGCTGCTCCATTTACACCTGGTATTAACATCTGATTCGAGCATGCATATCTGGTTTTAGTCCATTTAGTCCAGGTCTGTTTAGCGTTCACACTGAGTGACATCTCCTGTGATGAGGTATGCTTGAGCATTCTGTGCTTTTTAGGATTGATTGGTTCATTTAGATGTCTTTGGTCCACGTTATGTTCATATATCAGTTAAACCACACCAGAGTTAGTTTGAAAGCGGACTGAGACCCATATTTTCTGCTTGTTTGGGTTAGGTGTGCACCAAGGTTTGGATGGCAGTGTTCACATGTATTCAAATGGGGATCTATGTCACCTGATTACTTGGGATCAGATCACCCAAGACCAGGTGTAAATACCAGATATAAACAGCATGATTGGTACCTAGATTTTCACTCACCCTGTAGCGATTTGCACTAATTTGCTCTACTAGAAATCTCTTTGGACAGTTGCATTGAGAGACCTGACGGCTCACCTGCAGAATTGAGTTTTTTGTTAGTCGTCGTACAGAAATACTCAATGTAGACAGAATATAGAAACAGAGCTACACACACCTCCTCATTGATTTGGTCTGCATCTATCGGCTTTCTGTAAGGGTCTCGGCTTGGATGGAGGGCACTCACAAATTCGTAGTAAGAAGGAATGATGCATAAAAGTCTTTACTGACACTACAAATAAAATAAATGCATCCTTGGTAAATAAGTATTATTAATAAGCAGGAAATAGGAGTTTACTGAGGCAAAAATCGTAGTTAATAGTTAGTTAACAGTGAGAATTGGTCTGAAGTGTGACCCATTAGATAATATTACAAGCTGTCAGTATATTGTTTGTCCTCTGATTTAATCTACAATAAGCTGATTTTAAATTATTGTGAGATATTCACCTCTACATGGGTCATTCTTCACTAGAAACTCATCTAATGCTGTCCATCCACCACCAACTCGAACCATCAGAGAGCTTCTGAGAATACGAACCATCCGCAACTGCTGAGAGTCTCCAAACTGGTGAAAATCGCAGATTTGAATGAAAAACATCATATGATATCATCAGGCATGCATTCATGAATATATAGCTGTGCTGCTCCATTTACACCTGGTATTAACATCTGATTCGAGCATGCATATACTCGTTGGTTCTGGTTTTAGTCCATTTAGTCCAGGTCCGTTTAGCGTTCACACTGAGTGACATCTCCTGTGATGAGGTATGCTTGAGCATTCTGTGCTTTTTAGGATTGATTGGTTCATTTAGATGTCTTTGGTCCACGTTATGTTCATATATCAGTTAAACCACACCAGCGTTAGTTTGAAAGCGGACTGAGACCCATCTTTTCTGCTTGTTTGGTGTGCACCAAGGTTTGGATGGCAGTGTTCACATGTATTCAAATGGGGATCTATGTCTCCTGATTACTTGTGATCAGAACACCCAAGACCAGGTGTACATACCAGATATAAACAGCATGATCTAATGTACATATGCATCTGATTGTTACAGTGCTTCTCACCATAAGCATTTTAAAGATGACTTGTGGATATTTTGAAATATGGTGGATTGATATTACTTCACTAGGTTTTTTTTTTTTTTGAGACACTGGACAAAACAGGATACAAAACAGCATAATTACAACAAAAAAAAAAAGTTGGCATATTACATCATTTTGATAAAATAAAGAAAAATCAAAGCTCAGAGCAATCAAAGCAATAATCATGAAGCTCGAAGAAGGTGAAATTTAGGAAGAGGACTTTCAAGATAAAGACTGACTTTGATCATATTTATATTTCTGCTTTTCTTAAACAGATCGTTCACCCCAAAATGATAATTCTGTTAACATTTACTGTATGTCGTTCCAAAACTGTATCACTTTATTTCTTCAGTGGAACATACGAGAAAGTTATTTTTCAGCAGAAGGAAGAAAGTTATACAGGTTTGAAATGACATAAGTTAGTAAATGATGAGAGAATTGTCATCTATGTTTGAAGTTTAATGTGAATAGATTGTTATTGG